TTACATTTTAAATTTATTGCAATTTAATTTAAAAAACTGGCAAAATACAACTAAAGAGTGGAGTAGTACCGTCAGGCTGGCGCCAGACTGGAACATTTCGAATGGATAGACAATCCTCTCATAATGTGAGCGAAGCAAAGACCCGATGTTCTTCCCTGGAGGGTAGCCGAGCCGCTGCGCTATACGAGCCCATCGTCGTTCCTTACAGATCAGCTCAAAGCCTCCTTCATCCGCCACAATCTGAGGAAAAATGAAAAAAAATACGCTGTTCAAATCCTCTCAAAAAACAAACAGCTGACATTCCTGAGCAAATGTTGATTTACTCACCTTTGACAAACTGTACAGATCCAGAATGCGCCTTTCGATATGTGGGATTTTCAAAGAAGAACCTTGAATTTCCCAAAATCTGGCAATGCGGTCCAAATAGTTGAGCTTCACTCTGGTCTCAGCCTAAAATGAGAACACAACGGTTCCAAATGAAGTCGCCATACTGGCTGAACAGATGCAGCATGATGCATAGCTGCAGAACATTTAGTGCTGCATGGAATCAAATTGAGACACAATAACAACCATCTGCTTCAAAATGTGTCTGGAAAATGTTGCATTTTTTTGGAGGACAAAGTTTAGTGTGAAGACGAGCCTTACCTCCAATTCGTTTAACCTCTGGATGCGAGGAGTAAAGTGAAAGTTTTCCAACTCCACTGAAAACGGAGGCTGCCAGTCCTGAGTGAGAGCAAAGAACTTGTGAATTATTCTGCAAAGTTGTGTGTAGATTGAGCTTAATTCCTGCTTAGATGTGGCTTTCCAGCTAATGTTATTGATTAAAAAAACTTATCAAGAGTAAAATTACATCTTGCTATAGACTAATTACAAAATTCGAGGACATTGCAAAAAATGTCAGATCTCCCCTGTAAATACTCATAAATTTACAAATATTTATATAAACCAAATTAAAAACAGACATAAGCCTTTTTTTCCTGGCTGTCTGAATTTACATCTGACCAAACGTTTCTTGTTTTAAGTCAGAAAAGATTTTAATCATTCAAACTATTTACTAAATCTCACAATAACGAGAAAAAGAATAAGTCAGATATATTTTTCTTCATTTACATGCAGACTGATTAATATCTCTTTAAGCAATGAGAGAAAGCTCAGATGATGAGCTCATGGTTCTCGCCATGAAAAGCTCAAACTGTCTACATCAAGATGAGACATGTTGTAAGGAAGGCCGGAGTTCTTAAAACATTTTTTTAAAGGTAACAAAATGCAAAACATCCAGTTTCTGCAACGCAACTTAGACATAAGCAGATAGTTACCGGCGGAGGTCGGATTTTGCAGATTCCAGACTTCTCTGCGATTGGACGTATCTTGGCGATGTAGCCCAGGGGATCCTGGAACTCCTCCCATGACGGCTCAAAAACGGGACACTCCGGAGGGGGGATGAACTCTTCCACTTCCATTTCCCTGACAACAGGAAAAGCACAAAAAAAAACAAGTTAAACAACTTTACACACAAACAAATGGGTATAATATTATCAATATTTCTGTTTGTTGAATCTCTGCAGCTATTTGCAACCAACGTTTTACATTTCTAAGCAGCCAAAACATGTTTTTAGTACCTGACGAATAATACAACACATCCTTCCACTGACAGAAAAACAAAACAAATTAGAATAAAGGATATAATAAAATTTAAAACTTCAATTAAAGTTTCTTCAAATAACTAAGATGTTTAGTCTTTCAAAATCACTACTTCCTCATTTTACTACCAGATTGATGGTTCCTTCAAATATTACACATTTTCCAATTCCAAGTATTTTCACAGGACAGTAGTTTCTATAATCTTTGCTTCTCTATTGATGGAAAAACCCCAGGATGCAATTTATTGTCCAGGAAATCCCCTCCCCCAACGTCAGACACAACAACACAAACCCAGCACATCAGAGGCCAGTAAGGACTCAAGTTACACCTTTTTAGTCCAATTTCAAACATGACCTAACAGCATAACAACAGTTACCTGAGCTGACAGCAATAATTTACCTATCAGTGGTGTTTCTTATCTATTTAACACATGGAAACATCTACCAGCCATTTTTCATGTGTACATATTTACACATGTCCCATCTAATTCTGCCTATGTTTAGCTGTCTGAAGGTGGTTATATGTACTAACCAACTATAATTTTTTTATTTTAGACAAATAGAAAAGAGTGATCACAGCAATCCTTAGGCCTACTTCAGCAAATCCAAACAGAAGACAAATGAGTGCTACCAATCACCAAACATGAAGAAACGCTGTAAACAAAACCTTAAAACATAATCAGTTTACTCCACAACAATAAGCAAAAAAAGGCAAATGTTTAGCAGATGACAGCATTTGTTGATTAATGTGAGAAGACAGAAACAATTACACCGAGTTTGGATTCATTTCGGGAATATTCACGAAAATCATCTTAAAATAAACTCAATTTGATGTTAGTATTTCAATGAGCGTCAATTATATTTTTCACGGGCCTTCGGGCAAACAATGGCGTTGAGTCAATGAACCCTGATGCATTAAAAGGCCAGAAATGCAACTCCACTTACAAGTGGGCAGGGCTTGGTTTACAATTATATCACAAAACATCAATATTAAGCCAAAACTGACACATAGCTTCACTTTAATGTCGACACAAACCACATTCTTTATTTTATCCCATTAGCTGACAGTGTTAGCAAGTAAACTTGTGAGAACTGACGTAAAACACTAAGCTTACCTTTAGCGAGAGCCGTTAAACACGGTTAGTATTAAAAACCAAAAGCCGTGAGGCCAAATTATCTGTCACTCATCTGCTCCTACTGATGACAATGACCCGAGTTAACGTCCATTATCCAGTAGCGAGAGGCCATAACACCACTAACAGCTTGGGTTAGCATCAAGGCCTCCAAATTTTCCTAGCAGCACCGTCCCACTGCCTCCCACTGGTCTAGATAACTAGCATCCGTTTGCTAACGTTAACTGGGTGGCTTGAAGGAGTCAACAATGTAACCGCAGCCCTGCTAACCCATGACTACACAGCGCTGGTAATGTCGACTATAAAGTATTTTTCATGAACAAAAATCCAGTTATATATCCAGTCCGTTATAGTACAAGTGTCTAGCTGAATTCTTGTGACTGACCCGAAGACACCTCGATGTCCCGGGGTGAGATAAAGACTGTGGCCGCACTCCTTCCTCTGTTGGTGGTTAGCTAACCAGCTGTGCTCGGTCCTGTTCTGTTGGCTAGCAAAGTTGACCCGTTTTCAGCTTCGGTTCTCCATACACACCGCTCTGCCAACCGCACGGGGTTAATGTATGAGTGGCTGATGTTCGTTTAATACTAAACGAGAATCTCAAACTTTCTCAATTACTGTCGTGATAAATCATTTCCCGATCAACATCATCACTGTCTTCAGGCCATCCTGTGCATCTTAACGAGACGCCATCTTAGCTTTTTCTCATGACCGAAGTACAACCTCAAATATGCACACGCCGCCTCCCACGTTTTCTTCCTGAAAGTAGTGCGCACATACGCAAACATGCCGTGCAATTACAATGGCACTGTTGTGTGAGGAAGTAGGTCAAAATTATCTGAAGTTTTTTTTGTTGCAAAAATTAAGATATCGATATCACATCGTATTAAAAAAAAGCGGTAGAAATATTTCAAACAGCCCGTGTTATAACATAAAAGGAAATGCTCACCTACATATTTAGAGGCAGGGTTTACACTAAAAAAACACCAAATTTACCAAGTATATTTTTTTTTCTTGTTTCTAGTGTGAATATCAAGACAAAACTGACTTTATAAGTGACAGTTCTGCAAAAAAAAAAAAAAAAATTAGGAGCTTGTTTTCAGTAAATAAATTATTAATATTGATGAAAAAGTATTATTATTCAACTTATAGCACGGCAAAACTGTTTGGCAATGGAACCAGTTCTTCTTTCCCAATTGTAAAGAGTTCTTGGATTTAAAAAAAGTTACTTGCAAGTTAGTTTTGCCTTATTTCCAGTGCATTATAATATATGCACTAGAAACTAGGCTAACAATACTTGGCAAGCTTTTGTGTTTTTGCAGTTTAAGTATAATCCAGCCTTCATAACTTTTCAAAAATAAATAAGCAAAGAAATAGGGGGAGAAAATCATAGAATTTATAACAACAATATTCCAGATGAATTAAAATGATGTGTTATTATTTTTTTTTTACTTTTTTAAATACAATATTTCTTATAAGAAGAAAATATGTAAAAAATATATAAAATAAAGTAAAATTTTAACTCATTAAGATTGATTTCCATGTTTTGTTGGAGAAGCATAATTCAGTTTTTATGCACCACAAATCTGCAACAAACTTCCAGAAAACTGCAAAACAGCTGAAACACTGAGTAAATTAATTTAAATGTACGTCAAAAACTCACTTATGGTTACCATTGACTAATAATAATTGGAATACTGATAAATAATTTTGACGTATATTTGATGATGGCGTTTGACAAAATATAATGCTTGTTTAATAATTGGCATTATTGTTAAAAGAAACATCACTTTCACTTAAAATGTGGACAAGTATTTATTTAATCAAGTGTTAGCTCATCTAAGACAACATAAAACAAATTGTATCTATTTAATATACATATTAAAATGTTTATTCAAATTGTTACATGTATATTATTATGTACAACATATTAAAATTACTTATTTATTCATAAGCTTGTGTCACATTTTGGCACTGGATACTTTTGAACACCTCTGGCAACATTTTAGAAATTAAACTAATCCATAAAGTAATCAATAGTTATAGTTGATCATTATTTTTAAATAACTAAAAGTTTGACTGGACAGATTTGCTCTAAAGTTTCTATAATTCAGATCAACAAAATAACGTTTTTGTTAAAATGCATCATAACACACACTCCATAAAAATATTTCATGTCACTTTCAGAACTGCAAAGTTCTGAAAGTGAAAGTAAATCACACCCACACACTTGTTACTTCACTGCAAGGACACTTTAATTTATCAGAAGCAATAAATATTCACATCTCAGTTCTCTATTCTTCCATTACATGTAATACATACACAAAAAAAGAAAATCATGTTCAAAAATAATATCAATAAGTGCACTGACATTAACATTTCCCAGGCCTTGAGTGTATAATTGCTGTAACTCATTCTCGCTCTGGCAGTATGAAACAATAAGAAAAGAAGAAAAGAGGTCAATAATCCTTTTGGACAACATTTCCTGTCCCCGTCTTTGCTTTAAATGTGCATACATAATGGGACTCACATGCACGCACCTGAATACAGAATGGGAGCAGTTCATCCCATAATTATAAGAAGCCTATGTATAGTTTAATATGTACATTCATGTTTATATAGTACAATCTATTCAATAAGTGCAGATATATTCATGCAGGAATAGTTAAAAAGGACACAATAAAAAGAATACCCAACAAATACTTTCCATTTAACATTCTCAAAACTTTCTTAAAATCCCTTTTTAAAAGTTAAAATCTTCTTCAAGTTTCAGCATCTCACTGACATTTAATTATATGATGTATTCTCTTTTGGATCAAAAAAATATGCAATTTTGTTAATAAATGGCACTGAAGATGAACTTCATCAGTGCTCAATTTTATCTCGAAGAATGCAGTAGCAAAAAGGGGGTAACACTTACATTTAGCCCACAAGAAAATTAATAAATAACAAAACAAACAAAAAATTCATAAAATAAAGTATGTACCTGCAGGCTATTTTACATTCATAACTACTGTAGTGATTTCACCCAAGAAGCCTTCAGCGACATGCTGAGGCATCAGAAAATATAATATTTTGATTTTCAAAGTGACAGAAGAGGGATGATTAGGAGAAGGCCAGTTATGGCTTAAGACCTCACATGTGCAAAACCACAAAGCGTGCTTTTTTTCAGCACAGAAAAAAAGCAAACAAACACAATAACCAAAATCTGATGTAAGGAAATACAGTTTCAGGCTACATTCACACTGCAGCCTGAAGTGACCCAATTCCGATCTTTTGTCAAATCTGATTTTTTTATTTTATTTTTTTCACGCTTTCAAATATGTGACGTGTATCTGATCTCCAGTGTGAACTGAAAACGACCTGAAAGTGTCCCGCATGCGCAGTAGAGGGCGCAACAGCGTCACACATAGAGAGCGTGCTCGTGTTTTGTCAACCGCCTTAAAGAAGAAGAAGAAGTGCTCACTGTTTGCGTACGTAAACATGGATGCTAACAGCATATTAATCCTCATTATGATCCGCCACGGTTTTTCTTCCTACTTGGGCGCAGAATAGTGACGTATGTCGAGTATCGATGGCGTTCAGGTCGGATGGATGCGACCTGGCCGTTAGACCGCATTAGAATCGGATACGTATCGGATATCCAAGCGGCCTCGGTCGCATCCGAAATAAATCCAATCTGACTTGTTCAGACTGTCATGAAAAGTTCTGACACAGGTCGCATAAAGGCACAAAAAAAAGATATACAAAAAAGGTAAAAAAAAAAATCAGAATTGGGTCACTTCAGGCTGCAGTGTGATCGCAGTCAGAAGCTAACAGTCATATAGAGCAAAATATATGAATGTTGCCCTTCTTATGACTTATTTAAGCTTTTCTATTGCCAGGGTGAAATCTTGAGGCACAAATTTGTTAAGAAATGTCTCTAATACTGGCATTTCTTTAATTTACTACACAAGACAAGAATTATAAAACAGGCCAAATCTGCTTAAGGAGCAAGAAAACATTATTTTAACCTGAAGTACAAATTTTTGCTGTGTGTGGATCAGATGAAATCTACAACATATTCAAGCTTTTTCCCCCCATATTGTCATCTAAATTATGTGTTGCACAATTATTCCACCTTAGAACAAAATTAGACCAAAAAATCAATAAAAACCCCAAATTAATTTGAGATTATTGTTTGCAAAACTCTGACCTGAACTGTCAGTTGATTATTGATATTACACATCCATCCTTATATTTAGACATCACCCCAATGTAGAGAAACTCATGATATAAATTTAACTTAAATATCTCTGAATGTTGTTAGTCATGTCATCTACACGACCAACAACATTCACTGACATTTAATTTTGTCCTCTATGATTTATTCTCTTCTGGATCAAAAAAATATGCAATTTTGTTAATAAATGGCACTGAAGATGAACTACATCAGTGCTCAAACAGTTTGGATTTCTGTTTGGAGAAATCCAAACTTATTTCATTATTTTAACACTAAATAATACTCAACATTACAGACAGAAAGGAAAAAATATGATGATGTGAAAGAAAACCACATTTCACACATCAGAATACCCTCCCGTGGTTATGGCAAAATGAGAGGATCTGTATGTGCACATACTTTACAAACATTTGCTGATATAATTAATCACTGATCAAAACAATGATCGAACAATATTGATTATACTCAGGTAGAGCAGGTATATCGTAATATCAATAAAACAGCAAGAAGGTTCAGAAACACTTAAAATAAATTATTGTTTGTATCACTGATTAGATTTCCAAACCCACACAGAAAGTGTAAGCAAGCCCCATGACTCCAGCTGATGTAAGAGCAGGAAGGCAGAACAGCGTTAAAAACCTGCGATTGGCTTAGAAGTTTAAGACAGAGCAAATATCTGAGGTCATCTTCAGAATAAAGAAATGGCCTAAATGGCAACGTGTAACCAGCAACCAGGGATGGGGACATCATGAAGCCAAGAAAATTATTGCAAAGTCAAGGGAGATTTCTTCTTCTTCTTTTTTTTTTCCAAGTTTCTTCTCTTTTCAATGCAAAACTGCAACAGGAATGCATTCGGTGGTTCAGTCTCTATTTACAAACCCACTGTGAGTCAGTGGATATAGGAACACTCTGGTTTTCCAGTGTCACATTATAACATCTTGGTACTGTACATGGAAATATTCTCATACATACCTATGACTTCAAACAAGCAAAACTTAAGCATTATTATCAGATATAGATTTAGTTTCATTTAAAATTATATGGCTATAGACTTTTTTTTGATTGTGTGTGGCAAAAGTAGCAACGTGAGCTCATGTTATATTCTGTGTGCAGTTTTTCCAGGTATGTGAGCACATACCGTTTACCGCTAGCAGTGTTCGCTAGCTCCATGTGGAGCTAAATTGGGGCCATCAAGTTTGTTCAAAAGAAAAAAAAAACTGAAACTAAAAAAAATAAAATTGAAACTGAAAAAATATTTTCAAATAAAAAAATCAAACTGAAAAAAAATATTTTGAAACAGAAAAATTATTTTTGAAAAAGAAAACAAAACTGAATAAATTAAGATTAAAAGAAATTTTAACAAAAAAAAAATTTTAATCTGAAAATAATATATATTTGATAAAAAGTTAGAAACATGAAAAATATTTTTTGCAATAAAAAAGATTTAATATTGAAAAAAATGTAAAGATAAAAAAGAACATATGACTGAAAAAAGATTTAAAACTGAAAAAAGATTTGAAGCAGGAAAAACTGTTCTGAAGCTCAAAATAAAGATCTGAAATTTAAAAGAAAGTTAAAAACTACTTTTCAGATTCAAATTTCTTTTTTCAGTTTCAGATTTTTTTAAAACTTTGAACAAACCTTAGCTCCGCCTACATATGTGGGAAGCGAAGGTGAAAATAGCAGAGGCGCAGCAGCCTGCGTTTCCTCTTGTCGCCAGCGCTGCTGCTGTTGCTCTCGGTCCGGGCGGACTTGCTTCGGGTTCGGGACCTGCCCGCCTCCTCGTACCTGTCCTCGAAGCGGTGGCCTCTGGAGCTCCACGTCCGGCTCACACTACGGTGCTTATCCGGTTGATAGGTTTGGATTTGGAGCTGCCCACCGTACCTGTCGATCCAGCCCCGGTCACCTGCGGCCCCTGCTGAGGCTGCCCTGGGTGCTGGGGGGGGTGAGGGGAGAGAGGTGTAAGAGGGGTAAGGGGGGACGAAGGGGGGGGTAAAGGGGAGTGTGGTGGGGGAGGGGGGATAGAGGATAGAGGAGGGTACTGGGGCAGATACGGGGCGGCGGAGGCTGCGTGATGCGCACTGACGGAGGCGGACGGCAGGTTGTGGGGCAACGTGCCGAATATAAAGTGTGTTTGATGGGTGGAATGGCTGGTTGGGTGCGGCGTTTGTGCGTGCCTGGGGTGGGTTTGGGAGTGTGCGTGGGGGTGGGAAAGAGACAACGTTAGCGGGGGTTTGGAACCAGGGCCGCCGGCCCCTCTGGCAGATTGTGTGGGCGGCGCGTGGTAGAGGGCGAACTGCTGGCTCTGGGAATGTTGGGAGAGAGGAGAAAGAGGGGGGGGACATCCGACCACCATGTTGGTGTAGCGACCCTGAAGCCCATGCTGGGAGAGCTGGGAGAGATGGGCCAGCTGCGGGTGCTGGACGTGCGGTGGCCCAACCGGAGCACGACAGGGTAGTGGGCCTCTCTGTAAAGCATGAGGGGGCACACCTTGCAAAGGAGGGGGCGCGGGCTGGACGTGAAAGCGATGGTGATGGTAGTAAGGTGGCGGAGGCTGTATTGTGCCCACGTGACAGAACTGTGCGTGCAGTGCCTGAATCTTGGAAGCTCCCCCCTCCAGCTGGCATAGGGATGAAGGGGAGTGAGGAGGGGCTCCTCCAGTAGTCAGTGGGGGTACAGGTGCGGGGTATGGTGGCCCCGGTGGAATAAGGGGCCCTGGTGGTTTGGCGCGTTTGCTGCCGAAGAGTGAACCCAGGAAGGAGCTGCTGTTGTTGCTGCTGTTGCTCCCCCCAGGACCGCCCCCCGCACCTGCTCTCTCTGCACTGCTGGAGACTCCCCCAACTCCTGTCCCAGCAGTGGTAATTTGCTGCCCCGGCCCACCCCCCACCCCCGATCCGGGGCTCAGGATGGGGCGGTGAGGCCGGAAATCTTCTGTGCCGTAGCAGCCAGGGATGACACCCGGCATTGGATAGCGCTGATGAGGCTGCGGGCTGCTAATGATGGAGCCCTGGGAACATAAAAACTCATCAGGTTTTAAAAAACACACTGGAGAATTACAATCCCTGCTCCTCCTCACGTCAGCACACAGAACATGCTGGGGTGGATTTAACTGCAAAAAGCCATGCAAAGGATGTCAGTGTACCATGCACATTTAGTCGATATGCACATGCACTCAGACAGCAGAGCAGTGGTTAGGGGAAAAATGTAAGCCCTTTAGCTAATCTCAGCTAATCTTTTATAGACTTACTTCCATTGTACTGTCCAGAGAACCAACACTGTTCCTGCGACCACGTTTCCCTGCACCCCACCAGGAAGAATCAAGTTAGCAAAGCGTGAAAGATTGATTTTTTTCTTTATTACAAGAATCCAGTGCCTTGCAAAAATATTTTTATTCTGCTCATTTTTCACATTTTGTCATTTTAAAACCATAGACCTCAAGGCATTTTACTGAAATTTTATATTATAGACCAACATAAAGCTATACAACTAATAAACTTTTGCCATATGCCTGCTAAAGAATAATTGTAAATTCTTGTTTGCAAAATTGTTCAAGGTTATTCAGATGAATGAAAAATGTGTGAGAAGAGCAATTCCTACTTCTTTATTTAGGTTTATTCTCTGACTGGGTGATCCTAACAATTATATGGTTTAGTAATAATAAAAAAAACATCCAAATGCAGCTTGGGTGCATCGATTGCAGTGTTTTTAGCATATCTTCAATTACCAATCTTTAAAAAAATGGAATCGGCTGGTTCACGCAATAAGTAATTAAATTCATGCCCTTTTATGATCCTCCGACTACTTCCTGTAGTCTTTGTGGTTTCCACCAGTAGTAACATCCATTTGTTGGTCACATGACTTGTGTTGCGTGAAAAAAGCGTGAAAAAAATAAACCAAAGTTTGATGAAAATTGTTTAATTTTGATAAAGCCGAACAAACCACCTCATCCAAACAAATGAGTTTTTTCAAAATTGGCCTGTTCCCATTAAGCAAACTTGTTCTCTTTATGTCTTTGTTTCAACAATTACTTTCTTTTTTGTCCTTCTGCCATGAAAACCTTCTGCCATGAAAACCAAGTTTTTGGAGCGTTGGAATAATAGTTGTCAACAGATTCTCCGATATGAACTGTGAATCTAAGCAGTTCATTCAGAGTTACTACAGCCCTGGTCCTGTTGTGATGCTTATTTAACTAATATCCTCCTTGAGTTCATGACCATGTACCAAACTCTTTGCAGTCGGTTGAACCATTTTCTCTGATTTGTACCAAACTCTTTGCAGTACCAAACTCTTTGCAGTCCTTTTGTACCAAACTCTTTGCAGTCGGTTGAACCATTTTCTCTGAGGTTTTCAAACTTTGTTTTGTAGTGAGACAAAATTTGAAAAATCGCAAGATTTAAAAGAACTTTTGCAAGATAGAGGAACACAATTGAGCACTAGAAAGAGAGAGCAAGATCAGCCAACCCCAATCAGGAGAGATGATGTTAGAGAAATGGTTTTGAGCAGTGATGTCGTCTCACCTGTGTCCGAAAGGTCCCTGAGAGATGAGCTGAGCGCTGTGCGCTTCAGACCCTCACCCACTGAGCAGTTGTCATCGAAACTCGTCCTTCCCAAGGTGCCATTCACAACATCGCTCTTCACACCTACACCTCCTCCATCCACGGTGCCCGCCAGCAAGCTGGGCCGCATCACACCTTTCTGTTTCTCCAGTTCCGCTGCAGATTTACATAGAAACACAACGGAATATTAAATGAGAGAGAAAAAACACACAGAAATGAGCTGCATAACAACAACAACTTGGGAAAGTTTCCATTCTCATGTTTAGAAACATCTAGAACAATGTCTGTGATAGCCAACAAGGACAGTTTAAATCATAGAAATGACCAGCAGATGGGGCACTTACACTCCACTCTGTATTTCTCCATCTCTTGGACTTCAGCAATACTCTCCCTGAGGTCACTAACAAACCGGGTGCGGTCTTGCTGACTGGGTGCCATAAAGACGATAAGAACCTTTCTCTCTCCGCCGAGGCTGGATGAGGTCAGGCGGATGCCATGAGGGTAATCTAGTTAGAAACGGAGACATTTATGTTACGATGAAACAGAAAAACTAGGTTTAACTGAAAGGTACAAAATGAAAAAAGTTTCTTACATGAGTTCTGAAACATGTGGACTTGCATGTCAACCAAAGGGAAAGATTGTCTGAAGCTATAGGTTACTGAGGTTTTCTTCTTTTGGAAGATTTTGGTTACCTGGTATGCAATGAAAAATTTATATATTCACAGTGCATGATCAATTATTTAAACTTTAATATCATAGCAGTCTGAAAGTCAGCCTTACCACCAGCAGGTCATTAAAGAGAAAGACCTCTCGCTGGTGAACCCCTGTCCTCTGAGGTCTGTTGGGGTCAGGCACCTCGTAGAGCTGGCAGCAACACACCAGCCGGCGATGGGGAAGGGACAGCACCTATATACCCAAAGAAACAGAAAAAATCAATTTTACAGAAAAAAAATCCATTAAATTACATCTTATGATGCCTTAAATAGTCATAGAAACTCACAGGCTTTTTGCCAACAATGACCCTTTCCACCGCTTGCACCTGTGAGACGTGATCATCATTGGTCCGTAACTCCCATTTCTGTATTCGCTGGTAAATCCCAACCAGCAGGTCCCTGGGAATATCCTGACCATTGTCCACACCTTGGTTTGGATAAGGACATTAGTGGTTTTAGGAAATAAAGGCCAATGTTTCCTAATCCTGGTCCTCAAGGCACTTTGATCTGCATGTTTTAGATGTTCACCCCATTCAGCAAGACCCTGTGAATCAACCTTCATGAGTGCCAAACAAGGGAATGCCTAAAACATGCAGGGGATTGTGTCTTGTGGACAATGGTAGGAAAACACTGCTTTAAAAAGAGCCACAATTAGTTTTAACAATCAACTTTACATGAGGAATACTTGTAGATGTAAAAACAATACAGTAAAATTACATACAGGCTGTTTAGTTTTTATACATTTTAATAAAATATTGTCACACGAACGTCTCCATGTTGTACACGCTGCAATGCATTCTGGATAAGTGGTGTTTAATGGTCCAACTACGCTAGTTGCGTACAGAACAGTGATGAGTAACGTCAATAAGGCTTTTCAAATTGAATTGGATCATTGAAATTGATCGGAATGTAAAAATCACAAGAGGTAATGAAGATGAGGACCAAACGGAGGAAGAACTTGACCGGAGGAGTTGGGATTTTGCTGCCGCTGATATCTTCAGCTTTGTAAATTAAACAATGAACGACACAAACATATGGTTGGACTGGGTGATCCGGTAAGTACATCTATAGCTCTTCTACTGTCTTCCTCCGGGGCGGCAGTAGTGCCGCCGGTCCTACTGATGTAGAGCGCCGTTAACATTCAAAAGAGCTTCCAGTGCTATCTGTCTGATGTTTCTCCCAGCGATTTTCACTCCAGTTTCAGTGGGGTTTGGGCCTATATGGATAAAAACTGTGGCACAGCATTCATTTTTAGATTGTTACGGTAACGATCGGCAGTTTTGCTCATACAAATCATTCAAAGTCTTCTGGAGAGAAACGATGAGGATAAAAATCTAGTCCTTTGGAAGTTGTATTCTGCTCCGGCTCTCTACCATTGCGCTCTTCTTTTTTTTCACATGGGAAGCATCCAGATTCACCTCACAGTTTTTTTTAATTTATTACAGCCAATAGTGACACACAGTGTGGCATTATCAAAAATTACACCAGCCTTCCTGTGTTTACTCTGGAGATTTCAGTACAGAATGGACCTAATGACGTCATCAACCCAGCAGGTTTAGAAATGTAACAAAAGATACATTTTTTTTAAGTAGCTATGAGTTTTGGTGTATCACAAATAGCATTTTGTTTTAGTTAATAGGACAATTACAACATATTTAGGCCAACATGTTTAGCTAATCTTGGATCCCTTTAAGCCTTAACAGTAAGGAGTATATGCATGCTGAAACTTGTGTTTAATGAAGTGTCACTGTTAGCAACAGTGTCAGCACCTCTCAAATTCTTGATGAAATCTTCTAGTTTCATCTTCCTCTCTGCTTTGATGTTGGGGCTGTACATGTCCGTGTTGAGGAGGATTATGGCAAACGCCAAAATGAAGATGGTGTCAGGGTTCTGGAACTGCCGAACCAGGGTTGGATTGCACACGCAGTACCTCTGACTGAAAACAAAAGGAAGTAGTTGAAACCTTATAGCTTTGTTTCAGTCAACATCCAGCCAAAATTTGCATATGGGACCTCATAAGAGTACAAAATTGGCTAAAAAGTGGGCCTCAGAAGGGATTTTCCACAGACTCATACAGGTCAAATTAAACTTTTGTCAATATCTATTTGATAGAGATAAACTGAAACTGTTTGGACGACCAGTTGGACAGTACGTCCATATTTTCTTGTCAAGAAAGGTTTTGCTCAGTATACTGAAGTGTGTCTCATTTAAAAAGCTCACTTAGTATCCATTGAGCCTGAATAAACTCTTCAGGGAATCCACATGCAGCTGTATTGCTGGACAAACCAACTGAATGACATTTTTCTTTAGGTATTTTTCATTTACAAACCTGAACGCCTCTATAAGTCTCTCCACCTTTTGGGCTTCCCCTTGAACTTTAATTTGCGCCTGGAATTTCCTCAAAGCGTCATCGATGTCCATACCTGAGAAATCCATCTCATCCACCACACAGCTGCAAAAACACACACACAACTCACAGGTTATAGCTGAATTTCTGAAATACCAGGCATGCTTGAACTTGAGTAGCAGTATTATGTAATTCTGATCACATTTTATGTGCATGGGTGTGGGTTGAGTAAAGCTCTATGAAATCAAATTGGTTCAACAGCCTTTCAGTGGCTTCTGGGCATGTATGCAGATTTCCTCAGCTTTTTACCGTCAGTCCATTCATCCATTATCTTCCCTCTCATCCGGGAATGGGTCGCCCAAGGAGAGAAGCCCAGAGTTCCCTGTCCCAAGCCATTTGGGTCAGCTTCTCCAGGGAAATCCCAAAGCATTTCCAGGCCAATGAGAAACATAATCCATACCCCTACTAGTTTATAAATTATGAATTACTTATTCTCATTCTTATTAAACACAGGGAACCAATATGTATTTTCATACCTTTAACTTTTTTTGGTTTTGTTTGTATTTCCTTTTAATTTGTAAAGCACTTTGAAATCCTTGTTGCTGAAAATGTGCTTAATAAATAAAATGACATACCTTACCTAATCCTATTAATTTTTATATAAAAATTTGTTTGAGATAAATCCTTTTTACACAGCACTTAATGTTTATTTTGAATACTTACTCCAAAACGTCTTTGTTGAACTGTTTTTGTCGGTTTCCAAGAAACTCGCCAATCATCTGCCGGCTGAGGCCCTTTCTTTCCAAAAGAAAGCGAGCGATCCCAACTGGAGTGTCTGACACAAAGCCTCTCTCTATCAGGTACTGGATGCCCTTTTCTGGTTTTCTAAAGTCGATGCAAACAAAGCATGAGCCTTATCACTGTACATACATGGACATAGAAGCATTGCACTTTGTGGAACTCCAGCTCACTTGTTGAAGAGATTGAGACCAATGCGGTATTGGCGTCTCTGCACCACGTCGCTGTTGAAGGGTGGAGAGTCCCAGCTGTGGCGGCTCTCCCTCTGATATGTCTGCTTGCCCAGAGGAGGAAGAGGCTCCTGCAGGCTGTCCTGAGATGAGGAGCCTGAGCTGCAGTTGACTGTCTCGTTGGAGTTGGTGGTGGAGTTGAGGGAGTCGTTGTCTCCATCGGAGCAGCATGGCTGCTCCAGAGCGCCGGGCGGCAGCGCTGTCGAAGAGGAGGATGACAGCGGGGTGGTGGGGGGCTGCTGGGGTGAGGAAGAGGATGAGGGCGTGTCAGGGTACTGATGGTGATGGATGGGATGGTGGTGATGGTGGTGGTGGGCTGCCACCTGATGAGGGATATGAGTGGGTATGGATCTGCCAGGTGGTCTGGTCTGACCCTGGGCAGCTGCCGCTGAGGACGGGTGGGTGCCTGAGTTGGGGGAGTGCTTGAGGGTTCCCTGTGGGGAGCCCGACCCCACTCCGGGTTCCTGCTCATACACCAACTGTCTGCTCAGGGAGCCTCGGTCTGAACGATCGCTCATGTCGACAGAGCTGTCACTGGGTGGCTCGATGGTGAGAAGTGGCAGGTGGGCCCCCCTTAGTCGGTAATCTCTGCACTCGGTGCATGGGGTGCTGCGCCGGCTGTTGCTGCTTCCCCCTCCTTCAGTGTCCCTGCTGTCCTCACGGCCTCCGACACCCCCACTGGGACCCCAGTACTCTGTATCTGTGCTGCTGGGTGCCCGGTCGAGGGACAGAGGAGAAGATGGCATCCCATCATCCATGTAAAGAGTGACGTCACTGTAAGATGTGGCAGTACTGTCACCATGCATGCTGTGTCCCCCCCCAGCTCCTCTGCCTCTTTCTCCCAAGCCTCTCTGGGAAGACGGGTTGCTGCTGCTACTCCACATGCATTCTCCAAAGTCTTCACTGATTGGTCCACCCTCCCTGCTGCCCTCCTGGGAGTCATCGCGACTTGCGCGGCAGGTGAGGGCGTCATCTATGGAGTCGGCCAAGGACTTGACCTGGAAGAAACACGAGAAATTAAATGATCGATGCCAAATTCTTCAATTATGTGTGTCTGATTTTTGTTTTTCTGTTTTAATTTTCGTCTGATCAGTTCTAACTATTTTTAGAATCATAATGACCAGTTTTAAGTTCTTTGTCACTTTAAATCCAAATAAGACACCAAACAACATCTGCAGAAATATGTATAAAATTCAGATTTTGTACATATTTCTGTGTACAAATTTGGTGCAATTCATATGGCACCAAATTACAACACATATTAAAACATTAGAAACCAAACAAGTCCATCAGTAATATTATCGGCCCAATTTCAATGCTAATCACTTCATTGTTTTCAGTCCCGTCCAACAGTGTCGTCACATTAACTGATTCCTCGGTAAGAGGAAGCTTCTGTTTGAACCTCCTGGCTTTTTAAATTCTCATCAGTTTTACCTGTTTGGAGAAGGAATCCTCCAGATGGGTGTAGTCGGGGGCGCGGTCCGGATCCGGGGAGTGAGGAGGCCCGATGGCCACGCTGTGGGTGAAGTTGGTCTGCGTCTGCGCCTGCTGCTGCGGCTGGCGCTCGTCAAAGGAGAACTGCAGCCTCATGTTGGACAGGATGATGCGCCGAGTCATGCGACTCTCCGAGGCCGAGCTTCGGAGTCGCTCGAAGTTCTTGTTCATGCGATATTGTCTGAAGGCCGTCTGAATGGTCTTGGCTGCTCTGCGACTTACAAAAGAGCCTCCGTACTTTCTCTCCAACATCTCCACCTGCAGAAGGTGAGAAAAATAATCTGTGCACTCAATAACAACTTTTAGCCAAAGATGTTTAACTGTAAACTTCTAAATCACATTTTTAGTTATGCAATTAATTGCATGCTAAATTAAAATAAGCTCAATTATTTCCATTTTTTTGTAGTATGTTTAAAGGGAACTTTATTTCACATACATCAAAGTAAATATCTCAAATAAAATATCTCCTATTTCCAGTGAAGAAAGTTTGTCTTTCAGAGAAAAAACTTGCATTATTATAACTTTTTCTTGTTTCTATTTCTGCCTTTTTCCATATTTTGAATGTTTGATTTTTTTTTACTTTATTGCAGCTAAAATGCTTTATAAATAAAGTAGTAGTAGTACTACTAACAGTAGTAGTAATATCAATATATTACTTGAAAGTGATTTCAAAACAACAATATTATTAATTATTGTAATAAATACTGGGACAATTTATCCACCATCAAAATCTGTTATTGTGACAGGCCTAATTATTGGTGCCTTTTTATTTTGTTTGCTACTTTAATTCATTTAAAATCAACAAAATCTTTGGCTTTTTATAGGATACTGATAAGTAAACAATTGTAGATACAAAACATACAAAAGCTCCACAGTTTAATTTTTCTTTGGCTTGATTGTTTTCCTTTTTGAGAAGTAAGATTTGCTTTGGAGAAAAAAGTAGGTCAATGTTTGTGGTTCTTGTTGCGATGAAAAACTTTGAAAAATTGGAATGTATTTTTTTTCTACCTAATATTTTTCCTGTAAAAATAAAAAAATGTTGCCCTAAGAGATGAAAAACTGTCCGCCTGCATCAATGCTGTCAAGTTTTATTTGCTCCATTCTAGATTTGATCTCTTGGAGAGTAGTGATTAATTTTTGTTTTATGCTGTACTTTTTACTTTTACTTGTATCATTTTATTATGAAGTACCTCTACTCTTACTTGAGTGAAATTTCTGGATTCTCCACCTAATGAATGAAGAACAAACATTATATAACCAAATATTTTACCAGATAAAGTCATATAGTTACTTTTGAAGTTTCATTAATTTTTATTGAAATTTTTATTGGTTATTTTTTTGGTACTTATATGATTTATTGTCTTATAAGAACCAAATTTTAAGAAACTTGGTTCTTAAAATACCAAAATTTCAGCCTAACTTTACATTTCGCTCTCTCCAATGATGTAATTTTTACACAATAAATGATTGATAATTTGATCAGTTACTCAGTACTTGAGTAGACTTTTTACCAAATACTTTTTCTACTCTTAATTGACTAAAACGTCTCAATTTTCTACCCACTGAATGAAAACCAAACCTGTTTTAACCAAATATTCACCAGACACACACCAGCAGTTTTTGTTAAAGTTTCATGAGTTTTTTTTTATTAATTTGGAAACATTTCTTTTCCCTAATGTGTTATATTTTGGTACTTAAATAAATTACTGTAATTTTCACCCTTAAAATACCTAAATTTCCACTTAACTTTATATTTTGTCTAATGATGTAATTTCTAAAGACTAAATGATTGATAATTTGATCAGTTACTCAGCACTTGAGTAAACTTTTCACCAAATACATTTTTACTCTCACTTGAGTAGAAATAAGTTGAAATAGTGCTGCTCTTATTTGAGTAAAATTCTCTGTTTTTATTCTGAATCTCTTGCTGTCTGTTGCGCATCTTTACCTTCTTATCCTGCAGATCTGTGGAGAGCTCATAGCTGTCAGACAGGGCCTTGCACCTCTTGTTCTCCTCCTCTTCCTGTTTGCGGAGGGCCAGGCTCGCCGGCTGGTGGCGGCTCCGCAGGGCCCAGGCCAGGCTGGCCGGGCTGGAGGTGGCCACGCTGGCCGGGCCCCTGGGAGCCGAGGGGCCGCCGCTGTCAGTGTATCGCTCCGAGCCGTGGAGATAAGGCGACTGGCTGAAGGAGCTGTCTTTGTGAGCCACTGTCTCCGGACACTGGGACTCCCCCTCCACACTGAGGAGAAAAAACAGAAGCAGAAGTTCATGAGTCATTAACAGTTTGAGAAAATATAGCAGCAAACGTTTTGACCCGCAGTTCACAGCGACTGAATATCAGCATCTATATGCAAAGCTGCCAAACATGGACTTACTTGTAAATTTTGGAGCGCCGTGAACCCAGCCACCGTCTACTTGAACTCATTGCCAACTTTTATCAGGGTTTATTTTATGCAATTTGAGCTCCTGACAAAATTCCCAAAATGATTTTGTAACCGGACCAACATAAATACTTCTGCCTGTTGAAGAGTTCAGGGTTTAGTTAACGTTTTGCCAAGTCAACATATCTTTCCTCACTGTTGTTCTGCCCTTGTCAGACACGCACCGCAGCAGTAAAACTTTCTGAAAAGTCAGCTGCTCCATAAACAAATTTCTGCAGCGCCACATACCAGTACGTCTATCCTAACAGGAAAAACCAGCGTGTTATGTCAGCAGCAGCTGTGGAGCCAACGCCACCGGTTTACAGGGGAACCAGACATTCACTAAAACTTCAGATCACCCAGAAAGAATCCACAAGTTTCTCAAGATTAAACTTGTTCAGACTTATCCGTAAATGGAGTTAGTCCAGAAATCCTTCAGTCCTGCTAGTTTGAGTCCACCCGCGTCTTTGTGTGTGTGTGTGTGTGTGTCACATGTTCCTGTCTGCATTTCCTCCCCGTTTTGGCCACGCCCCCTTCTGTCAGCCGTGCCCGGTCCCACAGAGGGAGCAGCCGGGGTCAGAGGCGTGTGTGGACGTGACAATCAACTCCAGAAAAATGCTAATCACAACAGCAAATCATTTCCAATTGATTAATCAATACAAAGAAAAACCAAATCCAGAAATCATTTTCCTCTTCCTGATTGGTCACTTTTCCTGCTGGACATCAGAAACTTCCTGTGTGAGAGTTAAAGAGGAGGAGAAGCAAACATTTCCTTTAATTTATTGAAATCAACACGTCACAGTTGATTCAAACATCCCGGCTGCTGGAATGTTTGGACTGGGCAGACGGGGAAACGTTGTACAATGCAGCGTCCTTCAGCCGGACATCCTGTGCCTTTAAGCAGCACATGACTTCGCTCAATGATTGCTGAGAGTGGCGCAACACGAGCTTCCTCAAAAAGACTATAAAGGAGGCAACGATTGCCATAATCTACACGTTATTTACAGCAGATCTAGCGACACTTCTACCCTCTGCAATGTTAAAAATGTCTCTTTTTTTCCCTCTCCGGTTTTTAGAGCCGAGTTTTATTCCACCCAGCATCATTTTTCCAGTCCTCCTCCTCCTCCTCCTCTTCCTCCTCGGCTCCTTAAATAGAGGAGCAGGGAGGGGGTTGCTTGGTGACGGTTGCTGTTGGACCTTTGTGGGCGGCGAGGCAGTTGTTAGGATGAAAGGCGTTGTTGCCATGGCGACGTATTGACTGTCATCCTCGTTAAGGTGGGTGTCGAGGATGCTGCGCAGGTTGTGAATGACGGCCTGCGGCGTTTTTTACCCTCAGTCAAGCTGAAAAGTAATTTAGAGGCACAAATTTCGATTTATGATAAATATCTACTATAGGAAAAGAGTTCATTACTTTTATGTCTGTTTTCTTATTGATTATTTTATAATAAAGAAAATATAACCCTTTTGCAAATCGATAAATACATTTTATTTTATCGTATGTTGGCATTTGCAGAATGTTTGTCAATAGATACATATTTATTTAGTTAAATAAATATGTAATATGTAAATAAAGTTCATTTACGTAAAAATTTATTTTATTTTTTGGCGAGAAAAATATTTTTTGCCAACCTAATGACACGACTTCACACTGTAAAACATTAAAACTCATCCAGAATCTGAGCGGTCTCTGAGGTTTGCTCCAACTCTCCTCCTTTATTTTAATTTTTTTTTTCATTCCAGATCCAAAACCTAAAAGGATCTTGAAGGTTTGCTGTGTTAAAAGCATCTAGATTTCAACAATCATAAGATCGGGATTTGGATCAACTTCTTTAAAAATGCGCAATATATTTAGCTAAGCTAAAAGTATAGAAAAGCTGATTTGGGTGAAGAAAGTCGGCGTTCAGTAAAAATCTCTGCATAAACGCGGCTCTTCATGTTGTACTGAACATTTTCCACTGCAAGAAAATTATGTCAGAATTAAGTTTACACTGATTAAAAATTAAAAAAAAAAAAAGTTTGAGAAAAACACAACTAGGCGATTATTTTTTGTGAGTATTATAGCAGATTTTTGACTTTTGAAAGTTTCCTTGTGGTATTTTTCAGAAAATTTTAGATCTGCATGGAATGGAGCATAAAGTTCATATAAGGTTTAAAGAACCTTAAAGAATTTACCTCTCAGTTGGTGGGATGCACACACACCTCCAAAATGCGCATATGATTGCTGGGAGACAGCGTAAAGTTCAACTACGGTACATTTGGTTTTAGATCTGGCAACCCTGGTCAGTATTTATCCAGTCAAAGTGCCTGAGCAGGAAGATTCAGGATCTTTCACTCCTTCATTTTATCAATTGTCTCAAATCACGGCATCATGAAGCAAAAAAAAAAAAAGAAAAAGCAACAAAAAAAACTTTTAAATTTTTTAAATCAGGACCAAAGTGCTTTGTTTAGCAGGATTATAGTGAGGCAAATCTTTGAACAAAATCTGGCCTTGTTTGAAACTTTAAATACGCTTTACTGCATCTTAAACACTATCAGAGATGGAAACTTTAATTTAATTTTGTTTACAGTTACGAATGTTATTAACTCAAGTTTTGTTTTATCGAAGACTCTATTTGTGAACCATTTTGTTTGTTGTAATGCAGCAGAGGAACGTCACAGTTTCTATTTGTCCTGCTCCATTCGACTGCTCGGGGTTATTTTTCTGCTAACTCCTGAGATTCCAGGTGTTACTTGTCACAGCCGGATCGCTGTGCGATCCGCGTTCAGGTTCTATTCAGCCGTTTCCATTCAGCCAGCCGGCTCTGCGGGATTTCCTCTACAGCACGCGACCCAGAAGTCGGATCATGTTCGTCCACAAACCTTGTGCTTTTCCAGTCTCTTTGTTTACTTTCGCCGCACGTTACAAAATCCTGGATGTGTTTTGTTTACACAACTTTGTTTGCAAGAGATTCCTTTACCCACAAATTAAATATATGTTTAATAATATATATGTGACATATTATTTATATTTAAATAAATACATATTTAAATGTGTTGAATATATACATTTATTAATTACATTAAATACATATAATATATATTAAAATATGCTATTTCATATTTTAATAAATATTTGGAATTAAGCTAAAAAGATTTTGTTGCTACAATCAGTAGGAAAATGTGGTCAAAGGTATTAAAAGTTTTTAGAACAAAAGACAGGAAATCCTGCTTTCCCCCATATCTAGTTCCATTTATTTGCCTATCAACACCAGTAAAAGTGAGACCTGAAAATCCTGACAAAAATAACATCTTTGTTTATGAAACAGTCTGCTCACTTGAGAACTTAATCTACAAAACCATAAAATGCAGCTATGGCACAAATTTTTAAAAATGGTTTGGTAGGAAACACAGGCAAGAAGATGTGGATGAAAATAAGAAAAACAGGTTTGTTGTGTAAAACATAAATGTGGTCATATCACAGCTGGCAGCTCATCATTTATGTAAAAGAAAGCCTGTTTTCCAGTCTCAGTGCCAGAGAGAGACGGACTCTCTGGAGGTTTCCTCCAGAGGACAAGCCAACACTTTCACTACTCTCACCATCTAACTGGAGCTGGAGCAGATGGCTGTAATAAACTACATCGTCGTCACAAAGACGGTTTACAGAAGAAAAGAAGTGGGCAGAAATTGAAAAGTGAACGGGGGCGCTGAAAAAGCACAATGTCAGCTTCTCTGGCTCCTGTCCCCTCCATCATGTAATATTGATGTGACGGTGTGCGTGCGTGTGTGTGTGTGCGCGCGCGTGTGTGTGTGTGTGCGTGTGCGCGTGTGACTGAACCCGCAGCAGGACACCCAGGCTGCTGGATTAACCTCTCTGCAGCGTGCCATAGGGAAGCCAATAATGGCGTCAATCTGTGTGTTGACTCATTTCCGCAAGAGCGTTGACTCAACGAAGTTGTCTGAAATGGTTTCCAATATTTTCACCGTTAAACTTTAAAATAACATGCAATGTTTGGTGTGTCGCTCAAATCTTAATGTCATATTGTAAAGGCCAATTGAGGAAAGTTACCATAGTTCTCACAAGTCTGAACCGCCATCTTGGTAGGCAAGTGCAGCGCAAAGCATAGATGAACCAACAAGAAAATATATTCACACATTTCACCAATATGCGAGGGAAATATACGGCTCTGGAAGAAAAATAAGAGACCAATTAAAATGATCAGTTTCTCTGATTTTACGCTCTATAGGAATATGTTTGAGTAAAATGAACGTTGTTCTTTTATTCTATGAAATACTGACAACTCTCCAATGTAGTGTTTATGAGCAGAAAATGAGACGTGAATCAAAATAATGATACAGATGAAGAGCTTTCAGACCTCAAATAACACAAAGAAGACAAGTTGATTTTCATTTAGAAACAATCAGTATTTGGAGGAATAACCGGGAGGTTTTCAGTGCAGTGGCTCTTAATTTCTATGACCAGACTTGTGAAACTTTTGTTTTAGTCAGTTTCAGGTCTTTATTGTTTATTTTATGTCAGCTGTTTTACTCCTAATTGCACTGACTGAAAAATTAAAGTTGTTTTTATATGTTCAATCAAACTTGTGAAGCTGTTGGTATATTTATGTGTGTTGCACTGATGCAGCGTTATAAATTAAATTTGTTTAAAAGCAAGTTTGAAGTCATTTCAGCAACATTGTTTTCTGTATCAGATCGGTTGATACGAAACCTGAGTTATCGATATTGGAAGAGAAAATAATGGATCGTTGCATAACTAGGTCGAACCAGTGCTTTTTCATCAATATTAATACATTTTTATCTTAGCATTAGCTCCTATATCCTG